TTCATTTGGTGCTCTGCCATTTTGGCAGGTCTTATGGCATCCAGTATTTTAGAGCTGCCTATTCTCAGCTCTTCTCTTAATTTGAAAATAACTGTCACCCTGTTTCATTTGATGAAGAAAAACGCCGCGCTTTCCCTTACTCTTTGTGCTTTTCCCAGAAAGCGTCTTGTAAGCCTAGGTAATTATGCAAAACCAAGGCCAACTAAAAAATTAAAATTGTCATAGTATGTAACTCAAGTTAAAATAACACTTTTCATTACTCGTGTAGCTTAATCAAATATTATGTCATTTTAAACGACCCATTAACATGTAACATCAATGTATTTTTAAAAATTAGACAGACGTTCTCTCAGAAGTTGTTTTGTAGACGTTTATCTGTTGATGACCTTTTGACCTCCTGAATTCTGCAATGAGATTTTCGGGTCGATTCAGCCGAGACGGCCCGAGTGGAGTTTCATGTAAATGTTTCGTACGGAAAAAAAAATCGCGGCCCGGACCAATTTTGGCGTGACAAAAAAAAGTATAAGAAAAATTTAATTGAACGACAAATACGCCACCTACGACAGTCAAAATGATTGTGTTTTGATGAATTAGCTGCATGCTTTTGAAAGGCTGAATTATAAGTTAATAAGTTTGATTTGTGTGTGTGTTATGTTAACTTCAAAGGTATACATTTTCTGTTTTCAATAAAAAAAAATATTCGAAGAAGAATAGTAAGAATGTGTGAGGTTTGTACTAGCTACTGGAGCTAGGCCCTAGGTGAACTGCAATTTTGAGAGAGCAGCGTCGGCGAAAAGCTTTGTAGTTTGTTGCTGCTCGTGACCGACGAGATAAGAGTGTTCGATGCCTAGGCGAGGCCTACCCTAGATGAGGCTATTTGGCTATATTAAGGCTTGGCTATAAACGAGGACTTAATTGAGGCCGTATTATTAAAAGAGCACTTTATAACATTGTAGGTAACTCTACACCATGTTATTGATGACGCTAAGAGCTAGGCCTACGACAAGAGTTCAACTTTTCGGACATATTTTTGGACGAGTTCAACAAGCAAATTCCCGATTCCTACAACACCGATCGTCATCCTTCATAACAACCCCAATATATTATGTAAATGCTTGTAAGTGTACATGCAGACCTTAATCTTCATTTAAAAGTAGTCATGGCTAGGCCAGTTAATTTGATTAATTAAATTATTAATATAAATATTATATTGATAATTTTAATAATAAATATATGTATTGACTTAAAAAATAGTTTTTATTTATGTACACTTAAACTTGCCTAAGTCGAATGCAAAATGCCATTAAAATATTGTTTGACTTAGATAAAATTCGACTTACAGATTGTTAATTAATAGAAAACACAACAATTTGGTATGTAAAATTAGACTGACTTGGAAATTATTTGTTATAGGCAAAGTTTAACTGTAATTGTAAATTCAACTAGAGAAGCCTAGGCCAGACATAACATACAATAAAGGAGAATCCTAAGTTTAACAAACTTAAAATTCTCTTATATTAAAAAAAAAAAATTTATGACTTGTATACATTTTACTTTACAGTATATTCATTGTCTGTTTAAAAATGGTTTAAGCATGGAAGAGCTCAGACTAGCTAGGTTGCTTGATATCCCCCAGTGAAAAGTTGCGGGACATTGGTGGAGCTGTTTCAAAATAGACTGATAAAATGGTGTATAGGTTTGATTTGAGTGTCTGCTCTAATGCACTTGATATTCAATGAAGTCTGTTCTGGGTTGGGGGTGGGGGAGGAAGCGAAACCATGCTCATTCGATCAGAAGCCTACTACAAACCACAAACTCAATACTTGTCTCTTTATATATCCAAGCTCCACATATAGGTCATCTGTATTCTTCCCTTCTTGCTGATGTCACCAACCGTTGGCAAGAGATATGTGGATACTCTGGTGCCATCTTCTCCACTGGTACAGATGAGCATGGGCTGAAGGTGCAGCAGGCTGCCGCCTTCAGAGGTTACAGTCCCAAAGTGTTCTGTGATAGGGTGTCATCAGATTTCAAGGTAGGGTCAAATGTCAATTTTATATTTTATTAGTTCTGGTTAAATGAGCTTAAGTTTCTCAACACATCTAATAATAATGTATGTACCTGTGTGTGGTGATACCCATCGTAGATGGACTATGCAAAAGACTAATGAATAATATAGTGTGCAGTATTACAGTATGAAAAGATGCAGTTATTATAAATTTGCTGAAGATGGTATAGTTTTTACAAAATTTTTTATTACTCAACGGAATGAGTGCTGATACCGCACTGTATCTCAACTTCTGGGAGAATTGGGACCTTTTTGTTGGCAAGGTATTATGGTGGTGGTAATGATCATAAAAAATCAAAAAGTCCAATGAAATTTAAAATAGCTCATTACAGGGCCGGCAGTATATGGCCACATTCGTTTTTTTAAACTGAATATAAGCATTTTCCTTATGGCTAGCTTTATTTATTACAAGCATATTCTTTCAACATCATTACACATTGAGGCCCCTCTTTTAGGTAAAACGATCTATCCTAAATTTTCTTTTTTGTGTTTGGGACTATATGTTACAACTTAGAATGCAAACAGGAGCAAGCACAAAAAAATTTTGTTTTTTAAATTCTAATTTCGTCGGAATTGATCAAAACTCCCTAAAATGTGCAATTTTTAGAGGAAATTGGACTACCTCAACAAAATATGCGATTTAAAATTTGAGGTTTTCAGGCACTTTCCCGGGTGAAAAGGGCATTCAATGGGGAAATATTTTCCACAGATGGATATTTTCCCCTTGTCCCCCGGTGCTTACGCCACTGCGGAGAATATCTGGCGGCTTAGATCAAATGCGCTATGGACATTTTTTGAAGTGGAGAAGGGGTTGCAGGCCAGGGTATTGTGATATCTGTTCATTATATCATTATAATTTTATGTTATTCAAAATTCTAATTTTCTAATAGCAACAAAAAACAAAAAAAAATCAGCTTACGGGTCCTGAAAAGATAGTTTTAGAATTTTTTTTTCCCCTTTTGTTGTTGCCCAAGGAAGGGGTCAGGACCCATGACCCCCTCCCCCAGATCCGCAAATGTGAATTGCGAGAAAATGTAACTCAGTTGGGTACTGGATAAACATTCTCTTTCCCATCATTCTCCTCTTTCTTCCCTTCTTCTTTTTTTGCATTTCCGATCATACAAAAATCTCCAGACATTATATATTTTTCGCCAAAAAGTGGGGGGGCCCGGGCCCCGCTTCCGCCGGCCATGCATTTGATAGGATCCAATAAATTATTACCTTCCAACGAGAAGCAGATTTAAAAAAAAAAAAAAGTAGTTTTTACCGATTTACAGACATTTTACTACAACAATTGTTAAATAGACTACCAGTCAATTTAAGGATCTATGCAAAAGAATACAGGAAAGTTAATATTTAACTGTCCAACAATTGACAGGAATTTTTTTTTTAAATAACTGACATGAATATAGAAATGAAACAATTCAAATATGGAATTAAAATTTCCAGTTTTTTCTTTACCTCACACTGTAACTGATACAGTAAGTTAAATTGTTTTCACATTAGATGAGACTTTTTTTATACCTCTATTTTGTCAGAGGAGGGCCAACAAAAAATAAAATTTTGTTTTCTTATTTAGCAAATAGTTTTGCCAAAAACATCCCAATGGAGGAGAAAATAAAAATAAAATGTTCTTGGTAAATGTGAACAGAGTAGTAATATTATGGGATGGTTAAATGCTTTAATTTATATAATTAGGAAGAAATATACATATCTTCTTTTTTGGAGATTTCAAGGCAGCGGCGGGCATTGTGAAAATAAAGAAAAACTTATATTTTTTCTGAAATTTTATTTTTTTCGCGGCAGAAGGTGCTCTAATTGGCCAAAAATAAAATTTTATTTTCATTTCGAAGGCATCATTATTGGCGGGCGGCGGGCTTGCTAAACAAGGTATAATAAAAGTCTTGTCTTATTCTTACCACTCATTTTAATGAATGAAAGAGAATTCGAGAACTTAAATTAATCAGTTTGGTTCATTTTTACTTAGAGTATATTTGACCTTTGTGACATTTCTTACACTGATTTTGTACGAACAACTGAAGAGCGTCATCGGAGAGCAGTTGAGAGCTTCTGGGTTAGTATTTCACTTTCTCTTTCCCAGTCACTTTTACACAGAATTCTTATAGTCTTTAATCTTTTCCTCCATCCTTAACATAAAATTTACATCCTCATTATGACTATTTTGCCATAATTATATTATCATTATCATTAATATTATCCGCATACTGTGGTTCCTCTCTGGTATAAGCCCATCCTCCCTTGGAACAAAAAACTGGGCTAAATTTCCCGCGAATGAGTGAAGAGGTTAGTTTGGGTCACCGACGGTCACGACTAACACAGTGTTGAGTTGCAGCTGAAAAGAGTACCAAAAAACACATGTTTTCTTAATGCCAAGCTTATACGGGCGTTTTTAGAACACGTTTCCTAAAAGTGTTTTTGTTTTTTTACCCTTTTCTGCTGAGGAAATAACCATTTAAAAACACATGTTTTTTTGCTCAGCAGAAACAGGCCCTTATTCATTATTGTACTGGAAACTCTACCATCACCATTCTGTATCTCTGTTTACCTTCTTAGACCAAGCTCTATTCTGCAGGCTACATATATGAAGGTAATTATAAAGGCTGGTACAGTATGTCTGAAGAGTCGTTCCTCACACCTGGCCAGGTGACGGATGCACCTGATGGAAATGGTCTCAAAAAGGTAGTTTTTATCACCATTGTAAAAAGTAGCATTTTCAACAATTTGAGAAAGAGATGGTGCCAGTTTAATGAGGATTGTTATTAGGTAGTCGAGCCTGTAAAAGTAAATCCTTGCAAGCCACGGGGCTCATGGGCTGGAGCTTATCCCCAGTTTCAAGTGGTGTGAAGCGAATAAGAGTGTGATGCTCTCCCTGGGTGGGACGCTGGTCCACCGCAGTTTACGTCTAGCAATTTGCTGCTACTCATTCATAGATTTAAGTAGTGTAGGTAAAGTGCCTTGCTCAGGGACACAAAGCGAAATGCACCTTCACAGCATATGGCTGTACTCATTTATACTCCTCAGTAGAGAGAGAGACAAATATAAAGTGTCTTGCCTAAGGACACAAGCGACTTGCACAGCGAGGGCTCAACCCCCACTCACAAGGTTTAGAGTCCAAGTCTTCACACAAGACTTTTCATTCTGTATTTTTCATAATTTATACCTTTTTTTATCCATTTTTGTATTCATTGTTTTTTTTATTTACTATGCAACAATTATATTATTCTGTAGCACAATTATATCAATGATTTTATCTTAACGCACAAAGATATCCATAGAGAGTGGTCAGCCTGTACATTGGACAACAGAACACAACTACATGTTTCGTTTAAGTGAGTTTGGGCCACGCCTCTTACAGTGGATTGACAAGAATCAAAGAGGTACGTATACAGAAAACTTGAAAGCTTTTTTTTATTGATAATGTTTTTGGGGCAAGTTTATAACCGGGGAAAAAAATTATGATCCCTTTTGTAATGGGCCTTTCTGAAGTGTTAAGCTTAGCAGCTGACCAATCAGAACAGAGCCAGGAATAAGCACACGTGTTGTCCCTCTCTTTCTGTTTCTTTATCTTTTGGCTTTTCTGCCCTTCTCGTAGAGCGTTTCGCTGCTGGAATAACGTTTCTATTAAAAAAACAAAAAAACAAAAAACCTATGTATATAACTAATCGATATTATAATGATAATAGAATTGATAATGGTAGACTGATATGGCGCATATTAGGCATTTTTCGTTTTGACTACGCGGCCAGTCAACTACGAACTAATGGACCGTGACGGCAACGCCAAGACACTGTTCGCGTACTAGACCAAGAGCTGTTTTCGTTTTTTTAAGGCGACTACGTAGGCCTACGGAGGGAAGTTAGTCGACCATGGCTTTATTACCAGGGAACAATGTTCCCTTGTTTTATATTTGAAAAAGGAAATGTGAAAAAAAAACTTTAGTCAAATACTGTATACAAAATAAAAAATTTCCAGAAAACACTGAGTGATGTTTCGTTGTTGGCTAGGGTCTAGGCCTACACTAGGCCAGGCCTAGCCTAGCTTAGGTGTCAAAAGAGCAAGAGCTGGGAGAAGAGGGGTGTCAGGCCTGCTCAGGCAATTTGCCAAATGCAACGATGATGTACAAATAAATGTACATAACAATTTTAAACAGGTATTTATATAGCAAGGCTTGATCCACGATATCATGGGCCCAGATGCCCTAGCCAGCGGCACCAGAATGTGTTTTCTTCTACACGAATCCACTCTGACAAGGCTAGCCTAAGCCTAATAAGAGGCCCCTTTTTTCACTATCGCCTGATTTACCTAATTTTATGTTGTGACTATTCATTCCTCATTTATTGTATGTGTATAAATAGGCCTTCATAAAACATTTAATTACTCACTTGTTTTAATAATTAATTCATTATTGAACGAACAATGCTCGATTGCGGATGCGATGAAAATTGCAACCCAACAAAAAAATTACCAGCAGTTTGCCAAAGAATCCGGTTTAATCTGATTGCTCAATATTAGGGTAGTCGCCACTATGCCAAATTCAGAAATTGGGGTTGTCGCGGAAGCTATCACAATGCCGATTTATCCAGTAAGGTTTGTGAGCATGCGCAGATATCTGTTACGCTCTATTAGTTCGTAGTAGACTGGCCGTGTAGTCAAAACGAAAAATGCCTATTGTTAAAGCCTCTGTGCGCTTTACATTATCATTACCCCGGTCATTGGATTAAATGCCTATATGTAACACAAACTCCCGGGGGGAGTATTTCTTAACGTTGCAGCAGCTACATCAGCGCAATTTGGCATTCAACCCTACCAGGTACCCACTTACACACTTCTGGGTGGAGAGAAGCAATGCAGATAAAGTGCCTTGCCCAAGGACACAAGTGAAATACACAGCAAGGAATTAAATCCCCGACCTCGAGGTTGGGAAACCAAACTGTTCCCGCTGCACAGTCATTTTGTGGGATTTACCAACAATTTCCAAGGGCAGGACTTAGCAAAAAGGTCCACTTACAGCATATTCTAGAGCAGAGGTGGGCATAAAAATCGGCGGTCAGAGGGCCCAAGTGAGTTTTTGATTTAATACCGAGGACAGCACCCAAACTTTAATGTTTCCAGTGAGCTTCCAAAAACCTGCAAGCACTTCTTGTACCAATGTATTCTAATAGGGTTTTTAATTCATTTTCGCGGGCTACTAAAAAATTGCACTTTTCCTAACTGTATCCTAGAGTGTAATATGTAGGGATGCCAATCAAAAGGCAATTTTCTACACTGCATGTTTAATAAAAGCTAGTCTTTACTCATAATACCCTAGACTTTTGCCCATGAAAATCTGGTACATAAATTAAGGTGTAAAGTACATATTTAATTTCAAGTGTATTTCTGATTTAATTTACATTCCATATATTACGATACTAAATGAGAGTTTATTTTTGTAGCCATTTACCCCACGATCTTCGCAGACATAGTACGTGAGTGGATTCAAGGTGGCCTGCAGGACTTATCAGTGTCCCGACAAAGGGATCGTCTACAATGGGGAATTCCAGTCCCAGATGACCCTTCGCAAACGGTATGTTTCTCATTTATATTGCGTTTTTGATAGCAAGAGCGGCCGCTCGTTAAACCGCATGTTAAACTGAGGTTACCTCTATTCCATGTTAAACACTTTGTGTATGCACCTTTCAAACGAGGCTTTTTGTTGACACTGTTAAAGTTATTATATAGGGTTTTCAGCAAAATAATTTTTTTTTTTAATTAAAAGCTAAAATGTCTTAAAACTGAAAAAAAAATTAAAAAGTAAATACCAAAACATGAATCCAACTCTCGACATTTGGTTTCCTTATTTCCTTAAAGCACATTGCTAAGCAACAGCGCCATCCATGCGACATGTCCTATTAGTGGTAATGGCAGTAGTGTACATACAGTCCTTGCTGAAATGCTTGTTTTGTTTTGTAGGTGTAGGGGGGAACTCTGGTATCAAACTTAAAAAAAGGACCATGAACATTTGTTTGAAATAACCATTAGTTTATGTGTACAAAATTTCCTGCATGTCCACTCAAAATTGGCGACGCGGGACGCTTTTAAATTTCTGGTAACAGCAAGAACATCAATAAGTCAACAGCAATTTGTTTAGTATTTTATTGTTTGCTGTTTTAAATTTTATGACTAAATTGAAAGATTGGCTATATTTTTACATACATTTTATATTTTTGTATTTAAGTGGGCCCCTGAACATCAGATTTATTCTGTAAGGGTCGCCCACTCAAAATATGGTTTTAAATAAAAAATAATTTAAATAAAACGACAGTGAGTTTCTGTGGTTCACCTTGCGTGGACCCAAAAAAATAAAACGTTTGAATTACCCAAGATTGACCAGGATTCCAAAAGATGTATGATATTTGAAAAGGTTTTAAAATAATTATTTTCGTACCATAAATATGAATTTTACACATGCAGGTAACCATTTTAACAAATAAAAGTGGTTAGCCATAAATATATTAAATTTCAAATTTATTCATCTTCAAGAAGAATATATAAAATTTAATATAAATCAAAATATACAATGATCAAGATTTTGTAAATCCATATGAATTAATACAAATTTTAATCAGTAATCTTCAATACAAATTAATTGTTCGTTTTAAATGAACACGTCACTATCATATCAATTATATTATTTACTTTAATAACGTATAAAACACATTACAACAATTGACAATTGATAAAAGGAAACATTAAAAGAACTCCATCGGATAAGATTCTTAAAATAACAAGTGAAAGGAGACAGAACAAGAAATTAAAGATTTGACAAAACATTGCATACAAAAAGAGAAGAAAAGTAAATATTATTAATATTTATTGTAATTGTTAATTATTGGATTATATATAGAAAATATTGAAATATAGATTTGTTCAATACTATCACAGATTCCATGGTTATGACAATCATTCAATTTTAGTTGATCTTTGAATTGACGACCATACTCCCCTCCATTAAAAATATATTTTTATAGTGAAGAATAATTATAGCTTAAGAAAACAATGTTTTACGCAATCAACTAAAGTGTTTTAAAAGCCTTGTTATTATTAGCCTCAAAATTAAGAAAATTAGCATACAATTTTTAAGATTTCAAATAAAATCATATCATCAAAACATTTATTTTCCTCTTTATCAATGTTAAAAACAAATCACAAAAATATATCTACTTCTCAATTTAATAACAAAAATTTACAAAATGGAATATACTGTATAATATGTCCTCAAAAATAATATTATGTAAATAAAATTTTAAGATGCATTAAATAACAAAATTGAAAGAATTAGAAAAGGAGACAGCAAAGGGCAAGAAGAAAGCATCTTCCATAAGGTAAACCTGTGTGGGAGGAGCCATGAAAGTGAATGGTAATTAGTTTAAACAGAGAGATATAAAGATGCAAAACACAAACAAAAACAAATAATGTGGGAACCAAACACACACAAAAAACAATCAGTCAAATATAATAAATAATATATAACAGCAGATCATTACCTGTTTAAAAATTTGAGTTATGAATAATTTTAGCTTGAGCCGGTTGAGAATAATTCTTCAACAATGGATTTTGCTCCTAAACCGAACAAGAAGATATACTGAATAGAAATGGTTGTTCATATGTAAAATATGGCCTATAAATGATTAAAATGGTGTATGATGAATAATTCATGAGATAGATCCCATTGTGTATCACAGCCTCTATGTTTTCAAGGGAGAAATTAAAAATGGATTCCACTCATTCCACTCATCTTTGAAGTTTACAAGTTTATTGTTGGCGATCGTGATTCTGGCAAACAAAAATCTTCCAAATTGTTTTCTTCTGCCCATAGGCTTGCCTTCTATCTGAGGGCCCTGGGTGCAAATCATGTCAATACCCCAGGATTTTTTTTACGCTCAACAAAAAAAATAATATTCAGGTCTTTACATCTCATGATGAGACTATATATAAAGCAATTTGTGTGTGTTTGTCATGTGAAAATGATAATCGCTGGGCCCTGAGACCAAATTCAACTTCCCTTAATAAATACTTACAGAGTTACCGATGTTTTTAAAGTAAAATTAAATATATTTGTATGGTTAAATTATAAAAAATTAATATATATCTGTCTCTTATACACATCTAGATGTGTATAAGAGACAGGTTCATTAACTTTTAATTATAAGGGGATTTTACATACTAGAAGGT